CTTTCTAATTTGTTAGCTATGCAATCATCCTTGAAAAGATATCCTGAAACAAAATCCAGTTAGTGTCTCATTCATAGGATCTGTAGAAACACAGGAGACCCATGAAGTAGTATATCTCTGTATGGATTTATGGATTTTCAAACTATTTGCTTTCTAGTTCATAAATTTATATTACCAGTTTCTTCCTTCTGCATTCCCTTGGTTTAACTACTTTTAATTTTCTAAAGTTTAAGATGGCTAGTGGTCTCATCAATATTCAGATATTCTTCTTTCTAATATATGCTTTAAAAGCTATTGATTTCCTCTAATTACAACTGAGGCATTTTGTTATGATGAATTTCTATTTCTATACAGCTAAAATATTTACTCATTCCAAAAAATTTATAGAAATTTTTAACAATGCAAATGTAGAAAGGATCTCAATGACAAAAATCTGTTACTATTTTGATTGGAAATACACTAACTCATACATTAATTTGTCAAACAAACAGCATTTTAAAATAATGTTTTCCAACTGATACAATGTTAAATTATTCCAACTGATACAGTTTTAAAGTGTTCCAATTTTTAAAAGCTTAAATTACATTATATTAAATAGAATATGTAAATTCTCATTATAAAAAGAAAAAAAGAAATAATACACATTTAATGAAAGCCCTCTTGAATCCCACTGAATTTTAGTCACCTCCTTAGTGATAACCACTCTCATCCAAAGGGACTGTGTCATCTCTGCACTCTGTATATATATATATATATATATATATATATATATATATATATATATATACATACATATATATAAAATATGTATATATATATATATAATTAAATATGCAGATCGATTAAGTAAATGAAATTATATCACAAAAGTTTTAAAAATGGAAAGATATTTTCTCATTTCCTTTGTGATTTACAAATATAAGTCTAATTTCTAAATGTTAGATAAGGCATAAATTAACTTCTGTTGTTGTTGTTATTGATTTATAGCTTAATTGCACATGGCTATATTGTCAGTTTAAGTAATTACATTCCTTTAAATTTTTTTGAGTTATGATTTATAGTTTACAATATGTTTATTTGAGTAACTGCTCCATGGTCTCTAGAAAATAATACTTAACCTAACATTATTAGTCATATTAAGCCTTAATCTTGAAAAAATATTCTATATAATATAGAAATTTGACTCTGCTTATTCTGTAAATTACAGAAAGAAATTTGCTAAATCTCTTGTTTTGATGATGAATCTGTTAATTTCTCTGGTTAGTTTTGTCAACTTTTACTTTGCATGGTTTGAAATTTTTTAATTTAGGTGCAACACATCTACATTTTTTATAGATTTACATTTTTAACATTTTTAAATGGCCCTCTCTTTTTTAGTAATGACTTTGACCTTGATATCTATTTTTCCTGATACTAAGAGGAAAAAAAAAAACAGCTTTTAAAACGCTGTGGATATTATATGACTTTTATCACTTTTGTATCTTTAAATGGAAATGAAGTCCCTACATTCAACAAATAATTAGATATTGGTTTATGTGTTTTGCTTTAAAAAACAAATTCAAGTTGACAAATCTTAGTATTTAATTTATGTACACTGAAAATCCTTGTTAGAATTGGATTTTTTTTAACACTACTTGTTATCTATTGACCCACTGAGCTTAAATTAATTTTCTCCTCACTTTCATTTGGATAAGTAATTTTGAATTTCTTTTATTTTTTCATTAACTTGCTGGAGGTAAATTATTTTGGTATTATATTATAAGATACCTTAAATATTATTGCATGCATTCTTGATTTATGAATATTTCCAACTCAACAAATAGATTTTTCAAAACTTTTCATACAATTATAGAACATTGAAATACTAATTCCATTTAACTTTCTTCTGTCATGTTATTTTCATACATTTTATTCTCCACGTACTTGGTGATTCCCAGACTTTAATGATTATTTTATGTAATTCTTTCATTTTTATATTGTCATTATTCTCTTCTCCATTGTTGTTCATTCTTTCCAACATTGTTTGTTTCAGTCTGTGATCATTTCTTTTTATATGAAGAATACCCTTTAGTATTACTTTTAGTGCCAAAAATGGGAGTTAACTCTTGTGGGGTCAAATCTCTCATCTTATGTTTGTCTAGTATTATATTTATTTTGTATCATTTTTAAGTTAACTTAAATATATTTCTAGATTGTGTTAAAATAATTCTTTATGAGATGTTAATTATAAGTTCCAAGCAGAGAAATGGAAAAAAAAAAGAATATAAAAGTAATGAAGAGTCACCAAATTATGAAGAATACTGGGTAGTCAAGCATTAAAAGACAAAAAAGTGGACAAGATTTGCATTTACATAACAATTTTATGTCCTGTTGCTTTATATAATCTGGAATATATTTTTCTTCTTCTGAAATAAGCAGCTAAACTTTTTCTGGCTTGAGATATTAGAGGATAGACTTGGGATCTTCTAGAGTACCAGAGGACGGCATATCCTGTAAGTAGAAAGCCACAGTGCAGGAAATCCCAAAAATATGTATGTGAATTATAGGCAAGTTCTTAGATGATTCCATAATTTCCCATTTATAGGAAGATACTGAGGAACTCAAAGTAAGGAACAGGTGGAAGGTTAAGAGTGTTGAGCAGAGATTTCAGCTATTGCCCACAAAGATAAGAAAGTATTTATATATGAATTTTAGCCATCTTAAGTTTATCAATACAAAAATTATTGCTCTTAAGATGATGATAAATTAACAATAGTTTCTACAATATGTCACCCACAATGTCTATTATATAAGAAAAATTACTTGACATAAGCAGAAACAAAATGGTGATTCAGAGTCAATAGAAAAGATAATCAATAGAAATGAACTCTATGATTACCAAAATGTTAAGGACAGAAGACAAGGACTTTAAAGCAACTATTACAAATATGATTTTAGACTTGATAGAAAATATGATCATAATTATTAGAAGTAGGTAAAATGTAAACAGCAAAGGAAAACTAAATTTAAAAAAACCAAATGTTGGGACTCAGAGGCATAAAAGTTGAAAAGAAAATATTCAATGGATAAAACTAAAATCTCATGGAGTTTGTATTGTATATGGTTAATGAAGTTTACGATATATCAATGGAAGTTTTTAAATCCAAATATTACAAAAATCCACCAAAAATGAAACAACATCAGGAGTAGTGGAACAATATCACTTGGGTAACTGAAACTTCAGAACTTGAGAATGTAGAATAATCATTAAAAATTGAGTAAATAATGAAATTTTTTCCAATTATGGTGACAAACATTAACTCATAGATTTAGGAATGTAAAAACGCCCAAATGAGACCAATACAAAGAAAGTCACATCAAGTTACACTGCAGACAAACTATTCAAAACCAACTGTAAGAAGAAAATATTGAATGCAGCCATAGAAAAAACACATGCTATAGCACTGATGGAGCCATATATGACTTCCAATCAGAAAAAAAATTGAAGTCAGATGGCAGTGGTAAAGCATGGTCACAAAGTTGAAAGAAAAAAAGTCAACACAGAAATCAATGTCCAGTCCAAATTTAATCCAAAATAAAGGTGAAATGAAAACACATTGTAAGAAATCAAGTGCTAAGAAAAAAATTTAGCAGATTCACATTTCAAAAGTGCTAAAGAAAAATCATCATACTGGAATGAATAGTGACATAATGGGGTAAATGAAATTATTCTGTTATAAATCCCTATATTTTGTGATATAGTACATTGCTAATCTCAAATCAACTCTGATATGTTAAGATAAAAATGGTAATCATCAAACATTTAAAATAATTTAAAAATATATAGCTTAAAAGATAATGCAAAATGGATAAAAATGTGGTATATATACTCAATGGAATATTACTTAGCAATAAAAGAGAATAAAATCATGGCATTTGCAGATAAATGGATGGAGTTAGAGAAGATAATGCTAAATGAAGTTAGCCAATCCCAAAAAACCAGATGAAAATGTTTTCTCTGATATAAGCAGGTTGATTCATAGTAGGATAGGGTGAGGGAGCATGGGAGGGATAGACCAACTCTAGATAGGGCAGAAGGTTGGGAGGGGATGGGAGGGGGCATGGGATTAGAAATGATGGTAGAATGTGATGATCACTATTATCCAAAGTACAGGTATGAAGACATGAATTGGTGTGAGTATACTTTGTATAGAACCAGAGATATGAAAAATTATGTTGTATATGTGTAATAAGAATTGTAATGCATTCTGCTGTCATATATAAATAAAAAAGTAGAAAAAAGATAATGCAAGAAATAAAATTTATTAATAACACAATTTTATTAACCCAAAATAAGGCAGAAAAGTAGTAATAATAGGAAAACTATTATTTAGAGGAAAAAAGGACAAAATAATATACTTTAATACAATCATTTAAATAATAATATTAAAAATAAATGAACTGATATTCCATTCAAATGCATATATTTTCAGACTGGGTCAAAAAACAAGACAAAATATTTTGACAGAAAGAGATGGACTTTAAATATGAAGTTATAAAGACTATACTTTCAGGGATCCTTTCTTTTTATTATTTTTTTCTTGTCTTTATACATGTACTTTTTTTTGCATTACAATTCTTATTACACATATATACCACAATTTTTCATATCTCTCTATATAAAGTAGGTTCACACCCAATTTGTGTCTTCATACATGTACTTTGGATAATGATGTCAATCATATTCCATCATCCTTACTAACCCCCTGCACCCTCCCTTTCCCTGCCTCCCCTCTTCTCTATCTAAAATTCATCTAATCCTCCCATGTTCTCTAGTATGTTACTAGGGAAGTTTCTCTGATCATGTAGAGTACCAGAAACCACGAGGAGGAGTTTAGTGTTCTCTCCTGAGTATGAAGCTGGCTCTAGGTGTTACATTACTGCAACTGCCTTTTGCCATTGGTGATTATTCTTTTTTTTTTTTTTTTTTGGCATGCAAATTTAACTAGTTTATTTTTAAATACTGCAGTGCTATACAATGTTTCAAATAAAGAAAATTCTCTAACATCTAAATCAAATTAGAAAACCAAATAGTAAAAAAGGGAAAGAGATAGTAGTAAGAATCCATTTACCAATTTTACAGCTAAAAATTAATGTGAAGTAGAAATAGTGAAAGATAAGAGGCCAAATATTTTACTTTAGGTAATGCATTTATAATGCCTTATTATCTAAAGTTATAAATAGAATAAGGATTTTGTTATATAAAAATTATCCAAAAAGTATCAGAGAAAAGACATGACATCCACAAGCCGTGCTGAGTGGCCAGTGACAGTGCTGGAGCACGACAGTCCAGGCTGGACAACGGCCTCCGGACAGTCTGCCCTTGTATTCCTGGGCGAGCCACAGAGTCCATAAAAAGCACACTGCCTAACCAGATCCCTCTGCTGACACTGCAAACTGCGCCCATGCTTTCTTTTACTTAGGATTGGGGAGGGGGTGACTTTAGAATTTCCTTGGGAATGTCTGTGCACGTTGAAATGTCCCTGGGGCCTAACTCCTTCCAAATTGATGAGCAAGCTCTTGATTATTGAGTCGGGATGTTATTTTCCTCTAATTTTTTCGTACAGTCTTGGTTTGATTGGACACCATACTGACAGCTTCAGATGGAAGGCCAACATATACTCCTCCATAGTTTCTCCTCTTGTCATCTTCTGTTATCGATTCTTCTGCTACATCTTTAGCTGCTCCCGCAGGGCCTCGGCCTGCGCCCGAGCTGGTAGCGGTGGAGTTCCTGCAGCCCATCGCGCCGCTGGCCCAGGAAGCCGCGCTCAGGAGCTCGCGGCTGCGGGTCCTGGGGGCGGAGACCAGACGGAGGGCGGCGCGCCCCCGGTGATTATTCTTAATTCTCTTTAGAGATTAAGAGGGAGAGAATACTGTCTGGGTGGTTTTTGTTATTAAAAAAATATATGAAGTTATAAATAGGTTTTAAATAATTAAATGGAAATCAGTGTTAGGTAAGCACTATCCATAAGACAGTGTGGGCATGTGAATATAAGACAGAATGAAATTTTTATGGACAGGAATATTTTACTAAAGAAAAAAATAGATTGCATAAAATTAAAAATAACAATTATATACTTATATACACCAAATAAGATGTCTTCCCAATATATAAGGCAATGTTAACCAAGTAAAGGAATAAAGTGACAAACTCACAGTCATATTAGAGATATTAGCATTCTTTTTGATAATTGATAAAACAGGAAAACATTGATAAATATGTAGAATATCTGAACACCACTGTTGAATTATTTTAAATTATAGGAGTTGTGCAATGATTGCAGAAGATAAATTCTTTCCAATGTCCAAAGAATAATCATGGAGGTACATCTTATGCTAGGTCATAAAACAAATAAATTTCAAAAATTAAACTATTAAGATAATGTACAGTATGATCTGTGGCCATAATGGGTTAAATTTAAGTTATTTTAATTATATATAAAAGTGCTCGTTTGGAAATGAAAAAAATAAACTTTCAAATTAGGAACAAAATAACATATCAATAATGAAGTTATAAAAAATTTAGAGCTATTTAATAATAAAATACAACATATAAAACTTTGTGAGATGCAGTTAAAGCATCATTTCAACTTTGATATAAGAAAATGAAAATGCTTAAAAATTTAAGTTTCTAACTTCTGACACTATATAAAGATTAGTAGAGCTAAACCAAAACAGGTACAAGGAAAGATACTATACAAATAATAGAAGAAAGAAAAATCAAAATACGAAAAAATAAGCAAAAAAGATTCTTCAAATTGATTAATTATTGAACATTGAAAAAGACTAATTACGAAGAAGAGAAACCAAAATTACCAAATTCAGGAGAAAAGGGTTTAGGATTTTATATTATCATTTTTGTTAATACCTGCTCAATTTTTCTATCTAGTTGCCTATCATTGCTTACTACACAATACTTTTAGAAAGCATCTGGCTGTAAATGTTGCAGCAAGTGAGCAAGAAGAAAGATAGAGTAAAAGACTCTAGGCAATCCTGTAAATTTTTGGCAAATCCTGAAGATGGTAATAAAATAGAAACTGAACTTCAATGTTTTTATTGGAAGGAGCTAACGGTTAAAAGCAAAACAATAATTTTATCTTTCTTATAGAATAAGTTCACGCTTTATCAAGTGGGAACAAGGACATCTGTATAAATGATGCACTGAGCCAAATATTAGTGGCTTAAAGAAATAGGGCATTATATTATTCCAATGGCAAGCAGTTCAAAAGTAGGCAGGTCAGTGCTCTTGAACAGACTCATATCATCAGGTTCTTTCTAAAATTTTCTCAACCTATGCTTAGCATCTTGGTTTTGTTGACATAGGATTATAGGGTGTCTCCTGAAATTTCTGGTGATGTGTCTATGTTTCATGTGGGAAAATTGAGAAAAGGGTACAAAGGGCTCTTTATAGAGCAGCATGTTTTATTTGGTAAGCACAATTAACTCTAGGAAACTTCATTGTATATCTTATTAGTAAAATTTGATTAAAAGTCCACTTTTGAAAAGTCACTGATCGGTAGGAATAGGATTAGCTTTCTAGTTTAGGCAAGTTGTACTTGGTTTTCCAGAACTCTCTTGTATTCTGAAGATCAAAAAGGGTAAGGGAAGATAAATTGGTGCCACACAGTGGGTAGTTGCATTGAAAACAGCATTGTATGAAGCAGTCATTTTCAATCACAGTTGGAATAGAATCAGGGAGGTATATAACCATGTTCTGCATCCCTGTCTCCAGTATACATGTTCTTCAACACTGTCTCCAGTATAAAGAAGCCAAACATAATTTTATCTTCGTCATATAATGTTTCTTTGCACAGTTTTGGAAAGAACTCTGAAAAACAGAAAGCCAGTCAGCTGTAAACAGATTTACTGTTTTCCAGACTAGATTTTGTATATATGTTGTAGATTGAGCTAAACTTTTGGACTTGGATGTGGCCTTCTACCATTATTAAACATATAACCTGAAAGTAAAATTAAAAAAGAAAAACTTTTATAACCTTCAGTTTTCCCAACTGTCAAAGGGATATCATTGCAGTGCTTTTGTTGAATAGGGTTATTTGATGATTAAATTAGATAATGCATGTAAAACACTGAGTACTGTGATTGGCATGTTCAATGAACTAAATGTGTCCCCCAAATTCATGTTTTGAAATCCTAGCCCCCAAGATGATAGTATTTGAAGGTGAGTACTTTGGGAGGCCATTAAGTCATGAGGGCAGAATTCTTATGAATGGAATTAGTGCCTTATAAAGGCACAGTAAAAGAATTCTCCTGCTCTTTTTCTGCCTTGTGTGGACACAGTGAGAAGAAGGCTATCCATGAGTCAGGAAGCAGGCCCTCACCTGATGCTGAAACTTCAGATGCCTTGATCTTGACTGCACAGTTTCCACAATTGTGAAAAATAAATGTTAATTGTTTATCTCCCAGACTATGTGATTCTGTTTTAATGGACTAAGACAACATGTAACAAGGGCTCAAAATTTGGCTATTATTCAAGATAATATAGAAATAGTCCTCTAAAATGTTTTTTTTTTTTTTTTAATTATAGGACAATATCTAATACAGGAACTCTAGAAAGCAACTGAGAAAAAGTGGAATGATAGTAGGGGCTTTCTGAAAGATACTGACCCAAACTCTTACCAGAATATGATTCTCCTTAACATTTATTCAGGAGTAGCTTGTTTCAACTAAGTTATCTAGAAGCAGAGGCTGAGATAGGGGTTTGTGTGTACTTGGTTTACTGACAAGGGCTCTTGGGAGAAGGGCTGTAAGGGAAAAGGAATAGAGAAGAAAGCATAGTTGGTAAGAAAGTGGTCTCCCATGAAGTTTGCTTCACCTGTATCTCATGGGAGAGCATCTATTGCACTATAGAATTCCTTTCATTTAAAGCAAGGAAGTCAGCTTTTTGTACCACCTTATCATTCAAGTATTGGGGGCTGATCCTGGTAGGTAGAGATAAAATTTTATATTCGGGACTCCCCTTTGGCCATGAACAGTTCTTCGGAAATGAGAAAGATGTTCAGATTTTGGCATCCAATATTCATTGTAAGATGTTTATGCTGTGTCATCAATGTCCACTATGGTCAACACTTTATAATAATAAGCTCCACTCACTTGTCAAATTAAGTTCACTAGAGATGTGAGCCTGGATATGGTCACAATTTCTGGAAAAAATTACTAGAGGAACCTAGTAGCAACGAGTAACAGTTCCTGATTCTATACTTGGTATGATGGCTCTGACAGATACTGTCTCCCTCTGTCTCCTTTATATTTCTCCTTCCATGTGGCTAGCACTCTGTATGTTTAGCTGACTTGCTGGGTATGTGATTTGGACCCACATCTTCAAAGGATCTAAGACCCTAAATACCATCCCTATAGATAGACTCATTCATTTTTATTTAAATTGAGGATGGTAGAAAAATCTCAAAACATCCTTATTATCTAAATGCCAAATATATTCCTCCTTGTCCCCATTAGGTAGCAAAACTATTTGTACATAACAATCAAGATCTCTTATACCTGCCGACCAGGTTTTTGTTGTGTTGTTGATTTTTCACCCTGCTTCCTGAAATATAAAACTATGTGTTCACTGAGTGTTACCAATAAAACGTTCATACATGGTACTTGTGAAAAACTCCTGTATCTGACAACAGAGGTGCCATTCAACAGATGAATGGAAGAAACTGTGAATATTATTCAGCCTTAAAGAAGAATGAAATTGTGGCATTTGCCAGTAAATGGATAGCACTGGAGAATACCCTGCTAAGTGAAATAAGCCAATCCCCCCAAAACAAGGCAGAATGTTTTCTCTGATATGTGGATGCTAATTCACAATAAGGGTGGGGGGGCTAGGGAAGAACAGAGGTACTTTGGATTAGGCAGAGGGGACTGCAGGGAGGGGAGGGGCAGTGGGGGTAGGAAGGATAGTAGAATGAATTGGACATTATTACCCTATGTGCATATATGATTACACGACTGGTGTAACTCTTCATTGTGTACAACTAGAAGAATGAGAAGTTATACTCCATTTATGTATGATTTGTCAAAATGCATTCTACTGTTATGTATACTTAAATACAACAAATTTTCTAAAAAAAAAAAAAAGAAAAAAAAAAAGAAAAACTCCTGTATCTGATTGGCAGCTTATGAATAGTGTGGTATGAGGTGGGAACATTGTTTCATGATCAAATACTTACTGGTGAATGTTCTTTAGAATAAGATCAGTGCCTTGATTTGAGATAATAGATCAGACTTCTTTGGGGATCTCTGATAACAATGCTGGGTGAGATAAGAAAAACAAACTGTGCATAAGAAAAACAAATTCCTACCTGAAGTACATATCAATCCTTGTTGGGATAAATAATTTCCTTTTTCATGATAAAAAGAGATCCAAGCAAATCATCTTGCCAACAAACAGGTCTTTGTTCCCCTGGGGAAGATTCCTTTATTTTTGGCGGGGGAGGGGGGTATACAGGGGATTGAACTCAGGGGCACTCAACCACTGAGCCACATCCCCAGCCTTATTTTGTATTTTATTTAAAGACAGGGTCTCACTGAGTTGCTTAGCACCCACTAATTTGCTGAGGCTGGCTTTCAACTCAAAATCCTCCTGCCTTAGCCTCCTGAGCTGTTGGGATTACAGGCGTTCACCACCATGGCCAGCGGGAAGATTCTTTAGTGGAGATCAGTGTTTGTGTCTATTGTTTTTGGTTCATATATTTAATATCAGCAGTAGCTATTAAAATGTTCTCAGCTTCCATCTTTGAAAACAACATTTTTTTCTGTTCAGAGGCTATTTTATAATTACTGGGGTAACTAAGGA